CTAGTGGAAAAAATATCCCCAGCCCTTTCACCACAGGCATACCATACTTTATTGCACTTTGCTTTATTGCATTTTACAGATACTGTGAAGCAATGTTTCTTTTTCTTTTTTTTTTTTTTTTTTGTCTTTTTCGTTTTTATCGGTACCAGGGATCGAACTCAGGACCACACACTTGCAAGGAAGGCGCTTATGCCGCTGAGCTAAATCCCCAGCCCTAGCAATTTTTCTTAAATTAATTGAAGGTTTGCATCAACTCTGCTTTGAGCAAGCCTATCAAACCCATTTTCCCAATAATTCAAATTATTGTTAGCACTTAAGCAATAAAGATTTAAATTACGTACTGTACACTGGGTTTTAAACGCAATGATACTGCACACAACAGACTAGAGTACAGGATAAATACAATCTTTACATGGATTGAGAAAACAAAAATTCATGTAACTCACTTTATCACAATGGACTCTAGAACTGAACCAACCTACTGTTTCTTAAGAAGTTATATCTCTGTCTCTCCTTGATCATTTGCCCTAGAGACTCAGCTCTGCAGTAAAATGCACAGAAACCTGATTCACAATGGATTCCCAGCATGAGCAGAATAGTTAGGCTGTGTGCTCAGCCCAGAAAGCTGTTGAGGGATATAGGAAAAAGGTGCTTGCCCAGAAACCACCTGTCTCAAAGAAAATGGCTTTGTCCCAGACACAAGTATACATAACACTGGCATCACAGCAGAAAATCCGAAGAGTTTAGTTGTAATACTACCAAATTCTGATCACTAATACAAGTTTTATATTATTGATAATGCCTATAGATGATAGATGCTTAACTCAAATAACAAGAGCTGTTTCAATCACATGACAATAGAAAACATGTGTATCTCAAAAATAGTTCTATTATAAGCCCATTAAAATTAACATAGCAATTTTCAGTGCACTACAGTGAAAAACTACATAAAGGCAAAATTTTAAGACTATTTTCCTTAGAAACTTACACAATAACAACTTAGGTACCTAAGATCAATCTTCAGACAACCAGACTAAAAGACATGTATTTACTGCCTTGATTATTATTTAAGAACTCCAGCTAGTTTAATTTCCCCAAATATGTATAAAAATTCTACTTCTTTATTTTGATGTTAGGAGATCTCAAATAAATGAAAATACTTTTTTAAATTCTTTGTTATACATTTTAAACAAATATTGTTTTTACCTTTTTCTGTTTGTTTTTTGGTACCAGAAATCAAACTCATGACCTTGTACTTGCTAGGTAGGTGCTGTGCCACTGAGCTATACCCCCTGGCTGTTTTTACTCTTAAATCCCTCAGAATTTCTCCCCAATGAATTTTAATTTGCTCAAAGTAAAATATGTAAATACTGATTTTTTTAAACAATCAACACACTTTGTTTTTTTTTTTAATCAAAACACATTAAATTTTCCAAATTGTGACACAGAGGTGAAAAGCATGTTCACTTTCCAAATCAAGGTCCTACAGGATACACTTCTGCCGTCTAATTCATCTGTAGACCTAACACTCACTAGCACTGAAAAGCTGTCATCCCAGCAAGCAAGAGCCATACTTGTGTGCATGCACTCATGTGAAAATATCACACACACTAAATTGCATTGAGGCCGTGACAACATGCAACTTAGAAATGTGCAATATCTCCACCAGAGCAAGCAGAATGGAGCACCGGGGAGGAAGGGTGTGATGTGTGCATTCAGGAGACATGCTGCTGAAGGGAGGAAAATGGTCTGGGGATGAAGGGTGCATGCCACTCACTCAGACTCATGAAATGAAACCTAATCACACAAGTCTTCAGCTTAGGAAAACACTACATCAGAATTAAAATAAAAGTCAAGGTTCAAAAATTCAGTAACACAGTGGTCGTGAAAGAGCCACACGTTTCACAAGGCAAAGCTTCAAGACAGACACTTTCCACGTCTGATCATGCAGTCAAGCCCCAATTTCATTCCATTTTCACATTATTAATGGAGCACATAAAATGAGTTTAATGATTTTCAATTAACTGCAACATTAATGATGGTTACTATTTCTTATAAAATCTGTTATCACTGATAATTTAGACCAAACTTACTTTAAGGATATTACAATACTTTCATAATTGTTATTATAATATTTTTTCCTCTTAAAATCTTCTTCCATGAGGAAGCATGTTTCTTTTTTAACACATTCTTCAGAATGAAAAACCTACCAAGAGGTATGAGAACAGCTGCATCTCATTACATGAGAAGGCTCTTAGGAAGAGTCCATATAAAATGTGTACATTTTAGGTCTTAAATTTGATTTAGTAAAAGAGACAAAAAAAAAAAAAAAAGCCATAGTCGATCTCCAAGCATAGAGGCCCATGCCTGGAATCCCCGTATGGAGGCTGAGGCAGGAAGATGACTGTGAGATCAAGGCCAGTACATAATGAGTTCAAAGCCAGCTTGAACTACATAGTGAGACCCTGTCTCGAAGAAAGAAAACAAACAAAAAGACCAAATGATTCAGACTGTAAAAATAAAAATCATCTTGAATTACAACCTTTAATTTATAAAACTTGATACAGCTTTAGTCAGAAAAATGTCCCAGGCCATAACACATTCTCTAGTGTGTACCATATTTATCAGATTCAACAAAAATCAATCAGTCTTGCTAACCAAAAAGACTACAGACTATATTTCTGGTACAGAGGGCAATTAAATATTTTGGTATTAAAAAACAAGATGGTAATAAAATGAAGGGATTTCATCCTTACTTTGGAACCATGACAAGGGCTACTGGTGTAGTGAACAACTAAGATTCTATATTCTTAAAGAGACAGGGCAAATCTAATTAGTAAAATAAATATTTCCTCATATCTTTGTAACTGACAGTGTTCTTTAATCTCAAATTCTCTTCTGAGGTGAAAACCAAATGTCTAGCTGCAGGCCCCGCTGTGTCTACCTGAACGGTTTTAACAGTACTGAAAATTTAGTTTGTGACTGTCTTACTCAGCCAGCTCCTCCTGGAAAGTGTCATTGAACAGCAGGATTATTATACGCTTTCAGTCAGATCTAGACACAAATTACAGCTCTACTTACCACTTAACTAGTAGCCACAACTTAGAAGAATTAGATGCAAAACAAAAGAGGTAACATATTTGCAACAAAAAACAAAAGCATCTCAGTGACAAACACTTGAGAGGATAGTCAGCAAGTGGCTCACTCGAAAAAAGCAAAATGAGAAAATTCAAGTACCGTGATTTGAAAGCTGGACATGGTAGCACACGCTTGTCATACCAGAGCTCTGGAGGCTGAGGCAAGAGAAGTGCACAGAGCCCATAAGGAGTGTAAGGCCAGCCTGGATTACACAGCAAGACCTTGTCTCAAAACTAAATAAAACTTAGAGAGCTTTTATTTGAAAACAGAAATGCTCTTATGAGAAGAAGAGGAAAGTTACTGCAGGAAAATGAAGCACTGACTTTCTTCTTTATGTACAAGTTACGTATATTTTTCTGTATGGGTTAGATTAAGTCACATCTATGACTAGAGAACTATGTCAATGGTTTTATCCACTAAGAAGATATAAGGTTTATTTTCTTTTTAGTAGAGCATTTGTCTAGGCATTTTGAGTCAAAACATTATCACATAGATAAAAGATAGCCTACAGCTGGAATTTCTGTTATTTCACTTACATAAAAAGATAATTACCTAGTCATACAGGCTTAGAAAAGATGCTAAAGTAAACTTTCCTGGAGACAGCATCACTGTGAAAGCTGTCATATTAAATCATAAATTCCTACACTTGTATTGTTTACATGAACAGACCCGCATGGATACCTGAGGATACCACATAGGCGCCTTTTCTAAAAACTCACTTAATACCAAATCAAGGAAAGAGTATTGGTGCAAACTTTATTCAAAACTTGCCATAAAGAAAAAGAGAGAAAAACCTAGCAAAGTTTCCAGAAATGATATACCTCAGAAGCATGCATCCCACTGGAATATCGCTCAGGGTTTCCAAAGATAAAGAGGTATTCTCCATAGGTGTTACAGGAACACGGTGAAAAAAAGTACGCCAAAGCAGACAGGATTAACAGGCCAAAGCAAGACCTATGTGGGTGGCTGGTTCCAAACAATAGTGTATTTTTAAGGTATGTGGAAACAAAATCCCAGGAAAAGATTCACTATTCAACAGAAGCTTAAGAACTCCTGGCTAAAACTTACCAGAAAGAGCAGCTCTAACAAATTATATAAGGATTTGAGTAGCTACTCACAAGAAGTGGAAATGCTCAGTTGTTCTAAGAAGCGGTCAGGGATAGGAGTTAAAGGAGGAGCTGAGAAAGGTCTGAACTATGAAGCATCTCTTCCTGTTAGACATGATTCAGTAAAAAAAGAAAAGAGGGCCATAGGCCAATAACTTGGAAAGAGCTTACAAACCATGAAAGTTGAAGAAGAAACTCATTCAGAAACCAAGCCTGCAATACACAGACCTTGGAAACATGATGGCCAAAGTCAACACTACACCCAGAGCCCATGACTTGGAGGCAACCAAAGACTGCACTTCCAGCATCCAACCTTTTCCTGCAGAGGGCACAGCCTGCCTGCAGAGGGAGAGAGGAGAACAGAGGGAAGACATCTACTCCCCTCTGGGATCCAAGCTAGAATTCCTGAGGGGAGAGGAGGGTTGTGAGAAAAGGAAGTGGTAGAAGACCGGGCTTCTCTTAAGCAAGTGACATGAGGATGGAGCTAAACTTAAGAAGCTGCTATGGGAAGCCGATGAGACAGGCCACTCTGTAAACCATGGGCTGGAGAGTAGGATATCAAAGTCCTTGGGATTTTTTTTCCCCTTATAAACATGCATGGTCATAAGATCCTCTCAAATGAGAAGAAAGTCTTGGGACTACCACAGTCCTTCACTAGTTTAGTGCTAAATGTTACTAGGAAGTTCAAAACAAAAAAGAAGCTTTGCATGGAAAGCATTTGGTAAAGGGGATAACAAGCATAAATCTTATCCCTACCTGATAGCCTCTTCCACAGACTGGCCAATAATATTAGAAGATGGGCCTGGCTGAGACAGTGGTGTCAGGCTTATCACCCATTTCACTGGTTTGTAGTACTCATCACTGGAACTTAACAGATAAAATAGTGTGGTCAGGAAAATTATCTGTAAAACAAAAGACAGTATTCTCCTATCACATTTGGGAAACTGTGGACATTCACAAATGCAAAAAGAACCAAGAAAATGCTTTAATGGAGAAAGAACCGTGAAGGATACTTATCCGGGCACACATACCAGAGAGAGCACAAAGTTGAGGAGGGCAGTGCCGCTGTAGAAGAGGATGGTTAGGAGCGTGGTGACCGTGGTAAACAGCAGGCTCACGTTCCGGCTCATAACAATCCACAGCGACTCCAGGATCTGAGGTGGGAAAGCCGAACGTCAGAGCTTATAGGGAAGGGTACGCCACAGCCACCCAGGGCTTCTAATACAGTGTCTTACTATCATAAGGAACTGAGGAGAACTGAGGACTATGTTAAATGAAGGGGAAAGTCTATCAAAGACAGCTGCATGTTTAATAGTAAGGAAAACGGCTAAGCACAGTGAAGCTACTTTAAATAATATTAAGTAGCAATCAGATCTATTAAACCAAAATATTTTATTATAATGCTGCTTTAAAAGCAGAATACAAAAATTTTATATACATTATAACTATATAAAACTGAAATGGACATAAAAATGCCGTATGTCAGCATATGCCTTGTGTGTATTTTTCTTGTAGGATCTTAAATTCTAGCATTTGTTGTTTTAGGTGCCTCTGTCCCCCATCTTTGCCATCTCCAACTTCAATTCAACCCAAAATATATAAAGCATGACTTCAATGACTATTAAAATTACAGTAAAAGTAATGATAGGGTCAAAAGCAGAGCCTTTCCCGAGACAGATACTGCCCACTACATCAAGACCTACTGCCTGCAATAGACCCACTACCTGTGAGTTCACTAGAACCAGATTTCAACATGATGGTTATTCGTACACTAAATACGTCTAAAGGAAGATGTGCAGTCTCTACAGTATATCTGTATGCTTTCATTGCTTATCCCCCTATGAACATAAATTCCCTCACGAAAGTGTCTGTTCCATCCTGCCCAAGTGAACTATCCTTCCTCTCAGTGAAAAACATGGAAGCAAAATGATCAGGAAAACACCTTACTTAACACTTTCAAAATGCTTCCCCAAGACTCCGAACAATGCTGTGAGGGAAGCAATGCAGATGATAGCATCTTTATCTTATGGACACATATAAACTGAAGCTCAGAGGCTTAAAAGCCTGCCCAAGGCCAGAGAGCTAAGAAGTATAGTATCAGAACTCCTGATGTCTGCTTTTTATTTTAGTGCCCTTTCCAAAACAGTAGTTCTGTTTTTTTCATATGTTCAAGCTACACCATCTGTTCTATGAAAGGTCTACCCTTTCCATGTATCATTTATAAAAGGCACATTTTGTTGCCTTCCACATTTGTTGCAAACCCAGCTCAGTCAGATTTTTAGCAGTCTGGTTTCATTTACAAAAAGTCCTTACATAAAATCTTGAAAATGTTTCATGATGCCTACAAAAATATGCGCAATTAACTGTTTGACCTTGTCAAATAAAGAATGAATGAACAATGCCACTGATTCCAAGAAATGAATCAACAATGCCTTTATTTTTGATTTTGACAAGTATTCTTTCTAAGGCTCAATCACTCTGGAATTTTCATCAAAAAATTTTAAATAGTTTCTGAGTCACACTGATAGCAATACCCTGTGATAATTCTTAAGACATAGCTGCATAACTGCATATGGCTCCAAGGACAATCAAGTAACTTTTTTACTTGAAAGAAAGGAAATTAGAGAAGAGTACTTCTAGAATTGTTAATTCAATCTTTAAGGCAAAGTAGTTTCTAATATATATATATATATCAGACTTAGAAAAGAAGAAATAAAGCTAGAAACAATAGCAAGAGCCCTGAAACTTATGAAACAGACCAAATGTATTACGGTTAAAAAGTAGAAAAATGGGTCAAGTTTTGTGTTAACTTAATCAATGGTAGCAACTTAACTGTTAATAAATCATTTGTATAAAACAAGCACAACAAGCCCAGGAATTATGTCCACTGGTCACTGACAAGTGGTTTCTGCTGTGGATAAGAAGTGATCAAGGAAGAATCACCATCCTCCAGCTGACCTGCAACCTGGCTTTTCTTGAGTCCACCAGTCACCAAAGAACCTTGCCATTATTGATTTGGTTTCCTAGGTACTCCTGAGAGCCATTAGCCTATTTTCTGTGGAACCAATGAAGACTCAAAAGTAACAGTTTAGAAAAAAAGGGAAAGAAGAGAAGATTACAAGGATGCAGAAGTTGAAGAGAAAATGTTTCTCTGAGCAGGACTAAGCTGTCTCTGTCTGCCTCAAAGTCTGAACAGGCCAGAGACACAGATTACACAAACTGCACTGTCCCTCTCCGGTTTCTAACCTAGCTTCAGACAAAGGGAGTTGAGCTGGGTGATCTCAAACACCACTTCAACTCTGCCACTCTATTTCTAAACACGTCAGGTAAAAATGGGCATAAATACCAAAGAGACAAAAATGGAAGACCAAAGTAGAAGTTCAGTTATTAAAAGGGTGGTGAAAATGCTAAATGTAAGAAGAAGAAAGTAGAGGAACCTCAAATTGTTTAAGGTGCACTGGGAAGGCGTTACACACCACAGTTGTAAAGTATGTACTTAACTATAAAAGCAGGAAAAAGCAAACAAAATAAAGCAAATACTAACAAAGGAATGCAATGAAGAGGACAAAATACAGTTTGAAAGATAATGCAGTTTATTATAGTTACAGCCTGGACTCTGGAGCCAAGGGGAAAAAACTGAATTTGAACACTAACTCTTACTAGGATACTTAACATTAGTAAGCATGTTTGTTATTATAGTGAAAGCAATTATATTGATTTTGAAGACTCTTTGAGAATTCAATTAGAAAATATTTATAAAGCACCAGGTTTTATTTATTTTTGTGTATCTGTCATAAAATATTTCATATTGAAAATCACTAAAAAATCATGTACTTCCTTACTACACAATATATAAATGTTTGGGCATATCAGAGTTGCAAACATTTAATTTTTTTAGGCATGACTAAATTGTTTAGTTTTAAAAACTGCCTATCCTTTTCTTTACATAAAAATTTATACAATTTAAATATTTTTCTTGTATCATTTATCTTAATTTAATTGAATGTCAGTTCACCAGTCAGGGGCAAATCCTTTAAAATTCAATTATGAAGAAAAAAAGAAAGAAAAGGAAAACAAGGCTCAAAACAAAGACCCAAACCTGGACAAAGAGCCTTGCTAGGTAACTTAGAACCCCTTCCTGGCTAATGGAGCTTTACTTCCTCGCCTTTCCATTTTTTACTTTTTTCCTTTCCATCTTTTAAATACATTTGCCTGCACCCTAAAAAAAAAAAAAAAAAAAGATTCTGTAAATTTTAGTTCACACACCTGAATTCTAGGGAAAAACAAGTATTCAGATGTATTATTAGAGGGTAAGCTCTCTTCTGAAAGCACTGTCTTTAAAAGGGTGCTGAAGAGCCGAGTGCAATGTGTGTGCTTAGAGTTTCAGCTACTCTGGAGGCAAGAGGACTGTGCATTTAAGATCCGTCCACATGCCAAGACCTTTCAAACAAAACAAAACAAAACAACATAACCTTCCTGGAGAGGCCATGAAACCGAGTGGAACCTGTTGCCCACTGGGCTTGTCTTAGGCTGAACTGGCTAGTCTTGTCCAACTGGCTATTAGTGTTTTACTCCTAAAAAATACACTGCCAGGGTTCATCAGACACTTGAGGGTAACCTCAAAGGTGGAGAGAGAGCAAAACAAACTTTAAACAAACTCAGAGCTAACAGAGGGTGGTAGACATTTTAAAAATTTACTTACAGGCGAAAAGACATGATGAAAATATGTTATATGTATGAATAAAAAGACTGTATCGAGACCTGATATTTTATGAAATTAATATACACTAATAGAAAAGACATTTAAATATCTTAGTATCCGCAAAGAACTTTTTTTAAAAAAAGACTTAATATAGGAGCTGCTGGATATTATTCAAACGGAAATAAAAATTCAGTGAAGGGTTCAAAAATAAAGTTGAAGCCATGGGGCGGGGGTGGTGTTCAAAGAGAAGAAAAGAATGTTGTAAGAGTTAAGGATTCCATGCTGAAAAAGACCAAAAAAAAAAAAAAAAAAGAGGATTCCATGCTGCAGTCCACCATCTGACTGAAAGGCAGTTCAGAAAACCAGGTAAGTGGTCCTCAGGCATGCCTCCTAAAATCAGTATCTCCAAGACCTCCTCTGAGGTTTCCAAAGGTCAAAACACTTCCTTTACCAGTGTGGTGGAACACGCAGTACCCTAATGCCAGCCCTTGGGAGGCTGAGGCAGAAGGTCCGAGGTCAACCTGAGCTACACAGTGAGTTCAAGGCCGGCCTGAACTACCGGCAAGACCTTGTCTCAGAAGACCAAACCACCAGAAAATTCCCCTCACAATCCTCAGGTGTTTACATCTCCGCATGAGGGCATCTACGCGGTGAGTGTAGTGACCATCGATGCCAGGTAGGGCTGCTGGGCCATGGCAGGAATGGAGGTGGCACCTAACCGCTCTCCTGCTCACCCTACTCTTCACCACCAGCTTTCCTTATGAATTCCTGCACACAGCAATAAAAACCACAAGTGTGTTTGAATCAGCCTTTGCGCAACTTCGTAGTATTCTCCACGAAGAAACCCAAGTTAGCCCAAAGCACTTCTGCTGCTCACATGTGAGAGCCCTGGCGGATGCGGGGCAACAGAGCCGAGAACACCATGTCTGTGTGAAGAGCACCTGGTAGCCTGGGCACTCAGTACAAATGCCCTCTGAGAATGCACCAAGTGTCATTTCAGGAAATCCACTGATGGTACGTGCTGTCAACAAGAGAATTTGAGTCTTTAAGGAAAAAAATCATGATTTTGGAAATTTATCTATCAATCATTTGTGACCTTGACAGTTTCATAAATTTCTTTCTAATGAGTTAGATGACAGTAAAAAATGTGACTTTTTAATACTGTGTTTTTTAAAAATCTGTATTTTGAAGTCAGTAAACCAATATCCTGAACAACTAGTGTATGTTATAAAATCACACAAGGATAAACAAATGTTCCTAACTAAGACAGATTAGTGAACTTTACTACTTCACAGTGCAAAAATGTTCAATGATGTGGTTTCAAATTTCACATTACGAACTCTCCTTTTAAAATACTATGTGCTCAAGTTTAGTGTGGCATAAAGAAGAGCCACAAGAAAAGCTGTTAAAGGTTCACTCTCTTAGCCGGGCACCTATAATCTCAGTATTTCAGGGGGCTGATGCAGGATGATCTCAAATTTAAGCCCAACTTGGGAAAACTAGTGACTTAGTGAGATGCTCAAAACTAAAGAACTGAGAATGCAGCTCAATGCAAAAGCCCTCAGTTCAAACCCCAGTACTGTAAAAAAAAGGGGGGAGGGGAAAAAACCCCTCTTTTTTCCAACTAGTTATCTGTGTGAGGCTGGATGTTCTTCATGTATTTCAACCAAAACAAGCATATTTCCACAGACAGAAGGCAGAGCAGATATGAAAATCCAAATACTAAAAAGATTTGCCAAAAAAAAGAGAAAGAAAGCTACTCTTCTTGGTAAATCATTTTTTCCTTTTAGAACTCTGTTTATGTTAACATGTAAGGTTATTAACTTAATGAATACATAAATATGCACTTCATAATCCACAGACCAAAACGATGTAGACTCACTGCACTAGAGATTGTCAAAAATGTAAACAGCTGAGTACAGTGTTGCACATACGTAAGCCTAGCTGCTTAGGAGACTGGTGCAGGTGATCATTTGAGGCCAGGAACTTACTGCAAGGAAGTGAGAGCAGAAGAGATGGTGGAGGAAAAGGCATGTAATACAAAACTGGAGGAGGCCAGGGTCTAGCTCAGGGGCACAAGAGCCTGCCTGTAAGCACAAAGTTGTGAGTTCCTCAATACCAAAAACAGCAACAACAAAAAACCTGAAGGACATGAATTTCTAGAATTAATTCCAAACTATGACAACTACCCCAGGAGAGTGGAGGAAAGGCAGACTGTGAGTGAGGGAGCATGTTAAAAACTGAAGGAGTTGCTATGGCAGACTTGTAAGAAAGTCACTTCTCTACCTTCATCTTCCATATCTAGAAGCCAAAAGACAGGATCTAAATGGCCAAACTCGATAGAGCAGTGTAAACATTGTTTTAAACATTCACAGGTGAAGACCCAGAGAAAGCTGTTTCCAGAACTAACAGCTATGCCTAGAGATCGACGCTGAGGCACAGAGCAGGGCACTGCTCTCTCTCTTTTTTTTTAATTAAAATTTTAAAGCATTAACTTGTCATTTATGGTCATGTATTACTTCCATAAAACTTTTTAAAAATTTAGCACTGCAAACCTCAACTTTTGTTAAATTACATTAAAATCACAAGTTTATTCACAAGAAATTTCTCATGACTGTGAAAAGCCACAGGCTAAGACACCAAATCGTGTGCTCCTGAACAACACGGAGCCGTAATTAACACCCAGCAGTGCCACAAGATACAGAGATGGATGTGCACAGTGGGAAAGTGGGGTCGGTAACAAGCTAAGCCCCTGCACACTCAGTCTCTCTCGTGTAATTGTACGTCCACATGTCAAGGGCTTCACCCACTAGAAAAGCAGGACCCTCGTGGTCCAGCTGGGAACACGCTGGTCAGCCGAGGGGGATGAAAACAGCACCTGAAAATCTAAAAGCCTGCAGAACTGCTAATGTCTTCAGGGTTTGGCACCTCTCAGTCATTCTTCAGCCAGTCAAGTACCAGGGAGCCATATTAGAGGACTAGAAATGGTCATCTTTCTAGCCCATTTAGAGTTCTCCAACTTATAAATGTCATGTCATTAAAAACAGGGTAACTAAAGGTCTCCGTGTATATAAAGAAAACCTGGAATTAGTTCCTACTTCTATCTCAAAGTCCAGTTTAACTTTAAAGACTACACCTTACCGAAAGAAATGTCTCAATGTTCTCATGCACGAAGGAGGCAATATCCTGCCAATCCAGAATGTCTCCAAGCCAGCTGTTCTGACGACTTACATGCATCTTGTGCCCTTTGTGTCTTCCAGAATGTGTTACATTCTATGGAATAAAACAGTTCCAATGTGAAACTTTCATCTTAAAGAGCAAAAATTGTAAAAGTCTTATTTTGCTTTAGGTCCACTTACACACTTTAGCAAGTACCCAAAGGTGAAGAAACGTGCATTATTTAAGAAATCAACTAAGGACTCTACCTAAAAACCTAAAATGTCGTATTTCCCACTTATACCCTAGGTACTATACCTAAGCCTGGCTCAAGTGCTTCCCTCCTAAATACATACATTATTCTTCACCAGTTGTAACAGTATAATAATACTGCATTCAATTCACTTCACCTTTTTAGTTCTTATATCCCTTTCTTGGTTTCTCATATCTTTGCTTCTTTCCCCTCTCATTTCTATTTCCTTTATTCATTATCTTCTTTTTTTGAGACAAGGTCTCACTATGTAATTTAGGCTGACCTTGAACTCCCAGCCATCCTCCTGCCTCGGCCTGAATGTTATGATTACGGGCGTGGTTTTTATTCATCTTTTGTATAAGATAAAAGGGAAGAGGGAGGAGACTATGATAAACAAGAACAAGGAGCAAAATCTAATTCATCTATCTGTAGGAGACTTACATTGGCAGGGATACAGGAATAACTACATTTGAAAAAGAGATGTGGGATTTAGTTCAATGGTACAAGCACTTGCCTAATAAGTGCAGAGTCATGAGTTCACCCCCAGTACCAAAAAAAGAAAAAAAGAAAAGCAAAGAAATGTGAATAAACACACATAAAGTTAAAATTCAGAGGTACATTCTTAATACTCTGTATTCATTCTCCCACTTTTTGAATTTTGCTTCCATTCTCTTTTGTAGATGAAACAGTGTTACTTATCTCCAATTACACAATGCACAAAGACTTCAGTTCATGGGGAAAGAAGAAAATGACATACTTAACCACTTACGTATCTATGCTGTTTAAGACTGATATTCTTCCACTGTAAAATGAGACTCAAAAAGGGTGAGGGACAGGAAAAGCTGATTGTTAAGCCCAAGAGTTGGCACAGGAAAGAGATATGACCTTTCTAATCTAGTTCTTCAGTAGATGGCGTCAAATATACGATACTCTACTAATGTACCCCTATTAGTTTTAACTCTTAGCCTTTGAAACTCACAAAAACCAACCCTATTTCCCCAGCTCGCTCTAGAACAACAGTACATAATCAAAAACAGGTCACTAAGCAACAAATTCAAATAAAAGTCAGCCCCTTCCTCTTCAATCCCAAATTAAGAGATCATATCTGCTTCTGCTCTCCTTACAACACCCTGGGGGAAAATCACCAGCTCTCCCCTGTAATGCACACAATGTGCTAGCTGAAGAGCTACCAGAGCTGGGTAGGCAACACAACCAACTGCGTTTAAAACCATCATTTCTGTATTTGGTGACAGACAGTAATAGTTTTTATAGCACATCTTGAAGTAAGAGTGCATATGCATAAACATCAATGTTGCTTTAAAATAAAGGACCCTAGCAACGTTTAGATCTATTTCTTCTTCTTCAAAAAGTTCTTAATGTCTAGAACTAGACTATAAAAAACAGAAACTAGCCACATGTGGATACTGAATACTTAAGATTTTACTACCCCAAAATGCAATATGTTCTTGGTATACAATGTATGCTAATTTTAAAGAACATTCTAAAAAAAAAGAACCATTTAAAAAATATATAAAACTAAAATTTCTCTATTGAATACATATTGAAATGATAGCAGCTGAGGTACACAAAGGTATGCAAAATATATCATTACAATCATGTCATGGTTTTTAGTTATTTAATGTAGCCACTAGAAAAATAAACCACATGTGACTAACAAAGGCTGGAAGTATAAATGTGGTAGAGTACATGTTTTGCAGGCATGAGGCTCTGGGTTCAATCCCTAGCACTACAAAACATTTTGCAGAACTGTGTGTGTGTGTATGTAATATATATATATTATATGTATGCGTGTGTGTATATATATTTCTACCACACAGAACAAGTCTAAAAGATAAGATGTTGTATATAAGAATGAGCAGAGGATGGAATACTGATACACCAAGGGATTAACAAGTTCTGCCCAAAGGCTAACCACCAATAAATGCTGACTTAGGAGACCTGAGCCTTAAAATCTTGCTGCTTAAAAACCTTAATAAATGAAATTCCAATGTTAATACAATTCTATCACATCAATGAACCCATAAAATAAAAGAACTTTGCTTCCAATGAAACTCTTTAAAATAATTTACCTTGGGGAAGAGAACCAAGAAGTCACCCACCCTTCCTATTTGGCAGCAGCAGCTGTAGGTCGGGAAGACAACCAAGAAGTCAGGCCTGCCCTTCCTGTGAGCCAGAGGCAGCTATGAAGGCCAGGAAGACAACCAAGAAATCACCTTGCCTTCCCTGTGAGCCAGCAGCAGTCATGGGCCAGGAAAAACACCCAGAAGTTAGTCTGCCTCTTCCATGAGCCAGTCAGAGTGTGGGCTAGGACCCAAGAGCCCCACGCCATGTAGGTAACCAGCTGATTCAGAGGAACACAGGCTGGGATGACAGCAAGTGAGGTACAAAACCAACATGATGCTTGTACTGACCGACTAACTTTGCAGGCGTGGGGCCAACGGTAGTCTGGGCATCTGTTTAGACGATAACAGTATGCAATACAGCAAATATGGGGATTTCCTTCTGGTCTTGTTTTTGAAATCCAATATTGTTCTTGCTGTTTCGTTTTCTTCTGTTTTATTGTTTTTATTGCTTTCAAAATAAAAAATAAACAAAACAAAAAAACCCTTACCTTTACAAACCAAGAATGATAGAGTCTGTCCCAGAGTTCTAGTACTTGCTTTTCAATTACAGCAGTATTGTTCACCTTGTCTCCTAGAATTTTATGAAGCTAAAAAAAATAAAGATGTAATATTTCAGGCAACATTCAAATAAAACTAATAAATACTGAGTCTTCATTTGTTCTAAACCAAATTAAAATGTTGCAGACTTTTCATTATCACTAACCACAATGTTATTTTTTAAACTCTATTCCTCAATATTCCCATATCTTTTTGCTTTTTTTCTTTTCCCAATTTTTAGTTCTCTAAGAGAGCTACTTCAAATAACAAGAATGGAATAAAAAAAGTTAGTGTTTATCAATCTACTTGATCTCATCTACCTAGAGAAAAATCTCTTCCCTGTGACCACAGCCCACCATTATCATAAGTCTCATGTTATGTGTAACTTTATCATTCACAGTTGCCATAAGACTTTAGGACCTCCATTGTAAACACAAATCCTTCCCTTGGTTAGCTTATTGAGGGACACCAGGCTTCATACAACTATCACTGATGGAGTGACTTCTAGGTTTGTAAGAATCAAATACACTGAACCAGATAATTTGCATTTGTTATAATCTTATCCTACTTTTTATCATTAAAACCATATAGTAATATTAAAGATAATTTCAAAAGACATATTGAACTGTAGATCCTTTTTTTTTTTTTTTTTTTTTTTTTTTGTCTTTTTGAGACAGGTTCTCACTATGCAGTTCAGGCTGGCCTTGAGCTCACTTTGTAGCCCAGGCTAGTCTCGAACTCACAACAACCCTCCTGTCTCAGCCTCCCGAGTGCTGGGATTACAGGCATGAGACACCACACCCTCCTGGCTTAACTGTAGATCCATTTGTTTAATAGAAACTGTTTTCATTTTTCCATATCGCTATAACTTTTGTAACTGTTTTTTTTACTGGCTTCGAATTACTTCATTAAATTACAGTACTAGCTATTTCCACTCATACAACATGCAGATAGTGCTCAATTTCTGATGTCCTAAGTAATACTGCAGTGAACATTCTTTACACACAGCAACTTTTCCCTAACCCTAACACATAAATAAACATAAGCCAAAGTAAATGATGACTCTAACTGTGACTGCTGAACAACTTCTATAAGGATTGTGCCAGTTACTACTTTCCAACATTGCATGGGCAAATCTATTTTCCCAAAGCTTTATGGACTAACTGAAAATTTTTTAGATAATTTAGCAAATGTATAATAATAACTCTTTTTTTCTTGAATGATTATTTTTTTCCATATTGGGTTACAATGTGCATTAACTTAATTTCTGTCTACTTGACATTGGCCTTATGCTTGAACCAATCATTAGACACACTTGATGTAAACACATAAGTTTGTATTTAATTTATTCATAAACTAGACACAAACTAATGAATATAGTAGCCATCTATTTAGGCAAAGCATTTCACAATTTAAAATGCCTTTCACCTATATCATGTAATCTTCACAACCCAAGAATTAGACAGAAAATGCTTCTGTTGGGCTGAGGATGTAATCTAAGTACTGAAGAGCTTGCCTGGCATGTACAACACTTTGGATTTGATTCCCAGTACCCTAGAAAAAAAGAGGGAGATAAAAGAAAATGATTTTATAATTTCCTTGGTTCTTTTAAGATAAGAAAACATATTCTGAAAGAGTCTACGATAAACCCAAGATCATGCAGTTCTCAGTGGCAGTCAGGATAAAATATTCTCTAATGTTCTTTCAACTATAGCACATATAACCTACAAACAAAAACCACTTCACAGAGCAAATTACTCAAAATGATTAAAAATCACAATTTGAATTATTAGTCTTTTATATATCATGATGTTCAGATGCTCACTAACTTCCTGCAACCAATATTCCCTGTGAATTTCTGAGATCTCCCTTTAACAGAATGAGGCCTAAAATTTTGAGTCTGCACACAGTGGCCTTTAATGCAATAAAACACTATTTTAAACTGGCATTTCCTCTAGCAACCTTACTCCCAGTGCAATAGTGAGCAATTCTAAACTACCACAACTATTAAAGGATGGTACAACAAAATTTCAAGATATAAAATGGCAATTTCAAAGTCACAGTGCTATCAACCATAGCATAACGTCTCAGACTGAGAGCACTGTTCTGCGACATTACAATACAAGTCACAAGAAGGCTGAGCCAGAGCCAGGGTCCCATGGATTCAATCATACTATCAGGAGAGGCACTGAAGCACAGATGCTGCTGCTGGTATATGACATGTTCTCTGTATATGAACGGAAAGAGAGTAACAAGAGCAGTCTGCCACTCGGGAGCCATCTAACTGAAGACAAATAACCTGGTGTCTAGAAAGGGAGCTAAGTCAGGGCAACTGTCCACTCCTCTTGCTGGAACCTCAGCAACACTGCTGCAGCTACCCAAGTCTGTCTTGATACGTTTTCTTCTCTAAACGTCTATGTCACATATAGGTTGGTTTTCCTTCTGCTTCAAGCACTACTCTTCAGTTGGCTACTCTAGACCTCCAAAAGCTCAAGTCCTCCAAAGGTCTCTTTGGTCTTCTCTTTCTCTTTTTGAAGACAAGTAGTGTACAGGGCCTCAGATATGTTAAGCAAGCGCTCTGCCACTGAGCCATAATCCCTAGCCCTCTTTGGTCCTCTTCTAGCTATACTTTCTCTTCAAGCCATTTTATAGCCTGTACTACACCTATCCCATTCACATGCTAAAGTCCTAATCCCCAATACCTCAGGAGTGCGACTGCAGAATCTGTAGACAGGGTGTATGTTTAAGTAAGTTCACTAGCATGGATCCTACTCAATGTAACTGGTGTCCTTATCTGAGATCAGGGCACAGAGGGAAGACCATGTGAGGCAGCAACCATCAAGAAGCCAAAGAGAGAGGCCTCAGTAAAAAACCAATCCTGCCAACACTTTGACCTCAGACATTTGGCCTCCAGAACTGTGAGAAGATAAAACTTCTGTTATTTGAGTCACCCATTCTGTGTTACTGTTATATCAGCTGTAGAAAACTAATATGGTAATTCTCAAACCACCACCTGTTCCCCCAAAGGTCCAGCGGCATGTGTACACTTGTTCACAGCAGCTCTATCTATTTAGCAGGCATCTCAAACTGAATTATGCCCAAACAGAACTACGGACCTACCTATTATACCTACCCTACCATTCACATTCATGTCTTTTTTCATCACGAAAAATATATGAAAATACATTGTAGTTGAGCAAACCAAAATTTCCTTTCCTTTTACTTTACAGCTAGTCCATAAGTAATTTCTGTTAGCACATCAAAAATATATCCCCAATTTAACCATTTCTCTAAATATCAATGTCCACAATCTGGTCCAAGTTATCAACATTTCTCACATGGGCCATCAGAATGGCTTCCCTGCCTTCTCCTTTCTTGATCCCTTCCTGCAAAAGTAGCCCAAATGAGCTGTTAGCACCCTAAATGCGGTCATATCCCTGTTGGTGTTGTGTTTGTATAGTGCTTGATGTACAACTGAAAACCAACTTCTTGTCATGACCTATGGTTCGCCCCACTGCCTCATTCCCTATTCCAGCCACAAAGGCCTCCACACTGGCCTTCTTTCTGCCCTTCAACCCAGCATGTTACTATCTCATCATCTTTGATTTTCCTCTGCTCTTAGCTTGACACATTCTTCTCCCAGACCTTCACCAGTTGGCCTCCTCATCACTCAAGTCTTCGAGAAAATGTTACCTCATAGTTCTTTTCTAGACACTCTAGCCAAAGCACCATTCTGAATCACTGCACCATAGTACTCTGTACACAGCACTTCACAGAGCCTGAAATTATTCTTTCTTTATATGCTTAGTGATCCTCCCCCTCCACTACTTTTCCCCAGCAACTAGCATGGCATTTTCTCCATTCAGTCATGGGAGAAAGGGAAGAGAGAATATATCACTTATCTTCTTGATATTCTAGGGTAGCATCTCCAGATACAAATTTTAGAAGTTCGTATTAAACAAACAAAAAGATATCAAACAAAAGAATAGCTTGAGCAAGGATGCTGAATGAGGAAAGCTAACTGGGAGGAATACATAGAATCCACATAACCCCTAAGGACACAGGAGACAAAATAGACTGGGGTATGTAAAAATACTGTCCACCCTAACCTAAGCACATCCCACAAGACTTTTTTCTGGGCATGACATTCTTTCCTAGCATCAACCCTCTGCAGATAATAGCTTTTACATTTCAATTCTTACATGACTCTTAGCTAGGTAAGATCTGGGGTTCACTAGAAAGTTACATCTGTAGTTTCAATTGGCTCTTTTTAAAACCAATTTCATTGAGATATAATTCACATATTTATGTTCACAGTTATGCAATCATTACTACATTTAATTTTAAAATATTTTCATTAGCCCAAAGGAAACTCCATGCCCACTAACAGTCACCTCTCTCCTCTCTGGTATCCCCTATTCCTGGAAACCACTCTATTTTCTAACTTTATGGATTTGTCCCTTCTGGATCTTTCATGTAAATGGAATCATACACATATGGCCTGTTATGGTTTGTGCCTATAAGTCCCCCCAAAGATTCAAGTGGTTATGGGGGGTGGGGCTCTCGAAAGCAGCTGAGTCCAGAGTTTGTGATTGGTCCCTTGTCTACCGTAGGGATTGGTAATGTGAATACTGCACCCACCCAAAGGCGGGCAGACAACGTACAATCTAAGGGAGGGAAGAGACTTTCCCCTCTTGCCCTTTTTTTTGCTCTTTTGCTCTTGTCACTTGGTGGCCACCATGAACAGTTGCCCCTTAGCCACCCTGCCTTGACGTCAGCCCATTACAGACTGAAACCTCCATAAATTGTGAGCTAAATAAACCTTTTCTTTCATTTTGGGTGTTAGGTGTTTTGACCCAGCAAGGAGAGAAGGGAACCAAGACATGGCCCTCATTTTCTTTCACTCAGCATAGTGTTTTCAAGATTAAGCTACACTGCAACATTTGTCAATATTCCATTCCTATACATGGTTAAACAGTCCATTATATAAATTTACTTTTGATTGTCCCACTTATTAGCTGATGAACATGTAATGGTTGTTTTTTAGATATTATCTTTGTCTTCTAAATCAGGATCACAAGTATTTTATAATTTTGGTATCAATATCCACCACTTTTTAGCTGTCTTTGTTTCTACAGGGGTTTTTTTCTTCATCTTTTTGAGACAGGGTTTCACTCTGCAGTTAAAGCTAGCCTCAAATTCACAGCAATCCTCCTGCCTCAGCCTTCTGAGTGCTGGGATTACTGGCATGCACCACCATACCTGGCTGTTTCTAGTCTTGAACAAAACTTTCTCTATGTAATTACAGATCTACATTCTAAACTCTAAGGTAGATTTCTGTTGCCATTCCAAATTCCCTTTCTGTATCTTGCTCCTCTGAAGCAAGAATTCTTCCTCAAATATAAATCAAGAATAAAATACTATGCTTTCAGCAAACTTACTCATAGAAGGGTAAAAAACTTGTTTTTTCTTTCTTTCTTTTTTAAAATTTTTTTATCAGTACAGGGGATCGAACTCACAACTGCACACTTGCAAGGCAGGTGCTTATGCCACTGAGCTAAATCCTCAGCCCCGAAGGGTAAAAGACTTCTACAGCGAATGACTCTTCCTGCTATAGTAGATCTGAGAGCTGTATCTACATATTTATCTTTCACTTATTCAAAAATAGATATTTTAAGACCTGATGCATAAGAACTGATTAATTTATCTGAGACCCAAGAGAAACATAACACAACTTTCTGTCAACTTTTGACTATGACTCTATCCTCAGATTAGCAGACCACCATTTGTGCATACATACAGTGCATCTTCCATCATTCTGGGGTGGGTAGGTGGCTATTTTTTAAATTTTGAACAAGGAATTACATACTCAGAATATTCTGGGCACAAGTCTCATGTCAACAAATCTTATCCAGAACCATGATCCTAATTACTTCAGCATATTAAAACTGTCAATTTGTCTTTATTCTTATGGGCAAGACTGGCACTTTTTAAAAAGGTGTCCCATATCCATATCCTGGAGCTGGATCTTTTAACTGTGTTAACTGTGTCTTTAACCCTACACCTACTTCCGCTTCACAAAGCTTCTTCTTCTCAGTCAAGGTCACCTCCTCTAGCACATTCCTGCCCCTGCATCTTCACTCATAAAATGCCCTTCCTGAAACACACTCTTGTGTGATCTGTGCTCCTTCAGGTTTATCTCCAGTGCCACAGAGTGCTCTTACTCTAGTTCCAGGCACATACTCCTAGTACAGTACAGCAGAAAGAGCAGGATTTAGGATTGGTCATCAGTTTGAAATCCATTTACATGGCCACTGGGGATACTTCATCATCTGTATGGTAGGTAGAGTAATTCGGGCTATTAAAGCTTTCTTAGATTAAATGAAACTAACTGGAAACCGCCAAGCACTGTACAAGCAGATAAGAGGATTTAATATGCATTAATACCCTTTTCTTCACAAAGGCTTATCTGACCATGTAAGTTTAGAGATCATTCTATTCTAAGCATAAATTACTGAATCACATGTACCTTGGAAACAAAAGTAAATGACCACTTCTCCCCCCGCTCCCAGTCTTCTTCCTTTTTATCGGTACCGGGGATCGAACTCACGACTGCCTGCTTGCAAGGCAGGCGCTTATGCCACTGAGCTAAATCCCCAGCCCAAATGACCACTTCTTAAGACTGTTTAGGCAACTAATGCTATTCAATGTGATTACCAAAAAGGTATAATTTCACTGTACACTACTTAAAAATATTTCAAAAACTGAAACTGTTCCAAACAGAATCTCTATTCATGTTTTTTCAAGGCAAGAATCCCTACCTATGAAGATCCTGCAAAAAAAAAGCCACAAGAAAGCCTCTTCCCTTACCTTGTGGGTTATCCATTCTCGTCCATACTGATACACATTGTTAGCCGCAGAATTTAGGGCTCTTTGGACTACCTGTGCCTCAGGAAGCCAACTAATTTAAGCAGGAAAAAAAAAAAAAAGGAAAAAAAAGTGTATGTTTAATGTGTTGTTCCAATAATGTCATGAACTCGATAAACAACTATTGACCAGTCATTAGTGCACAGACACAAATGCATCACAAGGAGGAATCCTGGACATCTAGGACTAATTAGCCAATCTATCCTAAGCATTTGTCCCTATGACCTTCCTTTCATTCTGCTCTGCCTGGTTTCTATCCATTATGTCCTGCGCCACCAGCCCATGCAGCACCAGGGGAAGTGGTTCCAGGACAATGGGGTATTTGACATCCTGCACAAAGTTCTCAGACTGTGATCCATGTTCTCTCATAATTTTAGTGTAAAGATATGAACAGGAAAGTTGGATCTCTAAACAGAAAACCTGATTTGGGAGACATTAAAATGCTTTTAAATTCTCTAATATTTATATTCATCAGTGGTTCAAGGGATTATTGAATGTTTTCAATTATATGGTACTACATATTTGGTGGAAATTATAAAATCTATTGTGTTATTCAAAAATGTGGAGACTTGCAGAGGTATCTGGACAGATCCTTAATGAGGGACAAACACCTAGTAGGTCTGGAAAAAGATACTTTGGCTGCTGTGAAAACTATTTGCCAACGTATTTATGTAAGTGTCCTAAGAGCATTAGATGAAAGACCTGTTAAGTAGAAGTATCCTTAATCCTGACCTCCACGTAGTGAGGCACAAGGCCAAAAATGCCTGAGCAAACCAAGTTGGGATAAACGAGTATGTGCCTCAGTCGGACACCATCACAGCCACACAGGTGCTCAACTAGCCACTAGCACTCTGTCAAGAAGGACATCTCGGCAGAAACCAAGTCCCTACACAATCTGGACTGGCCTACCCTCTCTTTCACAAGTAAAAGTTAGTATTTGTCATCATAAGGCCTGCCAAGAAAGCAGTCCTGATTAAAAATAACTTGGTTTGGGTCCACTAGGTTTCATCCAAGTAAGGACAGAACTAAGTGATATTCAGCACCATTTTAGTTCCATCTCCTAATGAGTCCTGGGACACATGAATCACGAGGCTTGACACTAGTCAAGCAGAAAATAAGCTTTAGACAATCAAAAGTGTCCTACATAAGAATAGGACCAGGTGCCACAGAGGAAAGTTTGTTCTACCTGAGGAGGAGACAAGGCTATTACCAAACTGATTATATGCAACTGATATATTTTTTTATAGCAGAGTGTAGGATGACATTAAGATAGGAGCAAAGTGTTAGAAGTAACACATGCAGACAAGCAAGGGCCAGAGGTAAGTATATCTTAGCCCAGGACTCAGAAATCTACATGACCTCACAGTGGTGTTCCTTTCTTAAGGGAGCTTATTGACAAGTGTCTGTTGAATGCCCCAGCCCCTCTTCTCATGTATTAAACAGAAAGTCTCAGTTGAGTCCCAGCAATCCACTTGTATAACAGGCACCCTCACTGCTGCCTCTTCCCGCTTCAGTTTGAAAACTCAGCAAAGTACATGGATTATACCCTACAATGATACCCAAAGCACATGCACTGTCACAAACCCTGGGCAAAGAAATGCTCCAGTCAGCACGCTTAGTGACAGGACTCCTGGCAGAGTTAGGAATGTGCTCCACCTACAGCCAGCTCCCCAAGCACAGGCAGTCCAGGCCCCACACGGGCCACATAGCATGTGCACCATGTTGGAAGCAAGTACATCTGACTTATTCATAACTATCTCCTCTACTATGAGTGGACACATGAATTTCCCAAGGTCTACCACCTTCCACATGACAGAAATCCACTGAAAGAGCAGGAACCACTGTTACTTCGTGTCCACCTGCCACCATTTCCAATCCCATCCCTACCAATCTACTGCTAAAGAATCAGACCTTCTTCACATCACCCAAGTGCAAGCAACTTTTAAAAATATTCCTGCACAGAATATTACTCTACTCATGAATATAAAGGATCAAAGTATTGATATATGCATCTTAGACAGACTTTCAGGGAATTATGCAAGGTTACCAAAGCCAATCTCAAAACTACATACTTCATAATCAGATTTATGTATCACTCTTGAAATAATATTATAGGTATAAACAGATTAATGGTTGCTTAGGGTTAAACATACTACAGGAGAGTAGAGAGTAGATGTGAATATAAAGGAAGGCATGATGAGCTCTGTGATGGAGCAGTTCTGCAACTTGTGTTGATGGCTTATATAAAGCTACATATCGTGATAAAATTACAGAGAACAGTGCATGAAAACTTAGTGAGAAATCCAAAAATGGTATAGAACACCAACGTAAATTTCCTAGTTTTGTTATTATCTTAGTTATACAAGATGACAATATTGGAGGAGGTTGACGGGTACATGAGACCTCTCTGTACAAGTGTGACAACCCCATGTGAATCTATAGTTATTTCAAAATTTAAAACAAGCAAACCAAACAACCACCTAAAACTATGTGTTTTCAACTTACTCAGATTGTGTGCCTTTAAAACAGTAGTAGAAATAGTGCTTTACAATTCAAAACCAGCATGAAAGAGCTCAGGTTTACTTCTACTAAGAATGACCAGCAAAGACAAGAAATCCTTTGGAAATGAGGCTAAGACTGAGCTACGGAAGACAATACCTGAAGGTCTACCATCCCGTGAAAGGCTCCACCTACTTGCCTGGATTCCACTGGGCCTCTTCCTAAAAAGTAATTGCTGGTACACCCTGGGTCCTCCTTTTGCTCATTCTCATTTCAAAACACATTATGTTTAAACAGCCCAAGGGCAGAAGATCTCACTTTCTACTTAAAAGGCCTCTTGACCCTTATTTCCCAATCCCATCCCACTACACTCACAGTATTTACATTCGTGCTGAGCTGTTTTCCTCAGTTTGTACAAGGAATCTATCTCCTGCTTCATTCTCAAAGAAATGTACTAATTATCCCTTATCCTTAACATTTTCAATTCTTTCAAGTCTCCCAATTCTTTCCCATCAATGTAGAAGCAAGCTTAAATTTGAAACACCTGCTGCACACTTCGCTCTGCCCTTAGCTACCTTTTCACAGACAAATGTGAGAAACAATCTCCACTCATCTTTCTCTTTCTCCAGTTCCTCACTTTTCAGTAATTTCTCAATACAATGCAATCTAATTGGGATCTACCCTGCCAATTAAATGCACTGCTCTCGCAGTCACGAAACCCAGCTCTTGACCTTATTTCCACTCTTGACCTTATTTCCTCTGCAGCAATCTGTGCAGTACACACGTGTGGTGCTGGGAATTGAACCCAGGGCTGTGGCATACGAAACACGTACTATTCCAGTGAGCCACACTCCTGGTCTCTCTGTAGCCATTAGAATGTGCCTGCTTTCGCCTCTTACTTTTCCTTTTGCTTTTCTTATAGCCCACTCTCATTCTCCTTTGCCCACCTACAATTTTTTCTTAGCCCTAAAGTCCAGAGATGATCCAGAAGGCACACACCCAAGCATCTTGTATATGTGTATGCACATATACACATATCACAGTTCCAACCCAGGTCTCTCATAGTCCTGAAATCCCACACCAACTACCAAGTTACCCTAGATTTTCTTCTGGTGTTGCCCAGCTGCTTACTACCTCGTCACACATATTACAGACTCATACCTTATTAAAGCTACCTAAAACTCAGATAAAAGACTGAATTACTTTTTTCACTAAATCTGTTTTCTAACTTGAATCTATCACCGTCTGTCTACCAATTCCCAAAGCTAGAAAACAAGTCATACTAGATCTCTTCTTCCTACATCCAATTAATCACCAACTAATGTGCTTAAGACCACACAAACCTACCCACTCGGTGCACTCCCACTGTAACTGCCCACCATTCAAGGGGGTCCACTCCCGGAGCTTTAACTGGTGTAGAGGCTCACTCCCTTCTCCTCAATGCAAATGGAAGAGACTGCTATAGAATAAAATCTAATGCCACTTCTCTTCTTGTGTCCTTAATCAAGATAATGAATATAACTATCACTTCCTTGTATCCCTTTGTGTCTCCTCCTGCAGTTCCACTCCACTCTGATTAACAGGCAGGCAATCATTCATCCTTAGTACTACGGATTATACACAGCTTTCACTCTCTGGAATGGAACATAAATGGAACCATACTCTTAAGGCTTTTTTTTTTTGCCGAATTTCTTTCACAACACACTTGAGATTAATTCATGGTGGTATACGTACTTTTAGTTCTGCTATCACACTTCCAACCCTGTAGTTCGTAGTTATAGTTTGTATTTAATGCTGAGTAATATTCCATTGTATAGATATGCCATAATTTGCAACAAATAAGAAATATTAGGACAAACACCCTGGATATGCTCTAAGTAATATGGTAAGTGGGTATATTTTGGAAAAAAAAATCTTTTAAGAATATTCAAATACGGGCCAGGGATTTAGCGGCATAAGTGTCTGCCTGACAAGCATGAGGTCATGTGTTCAATCCCTGGTACCAAATAAAAAACCTCTAAAACCAAATTTGAGTAGTGCCCCAAGCAGGTTTTATTAAAAGAACTAGAGTCAAACACAGGAGGAAATCAGGGTTGGGAATGTGGCTCAGTGGCAGAATACCTGGCGTGCATGTAAAAGGCTTTGGGATTATCCTCCATACTACAAAAAACAAAAGAAAAAAAAAATCAACTTCAAAGTCAATTTACAGTACTAAAATCAGCTAGTAACTACCTGGGGTTAATAAAAAGGAAAAAAAGTAGGTGATACAATTTGTCATTATATATACAATAAGATAAACAACATAGCTCTGCTGAACATTGTTTACAGAGACCTAAAACTCTTTTTACAAAAGGCAAACTAAGTAAGTACACAGAGATTCTCAGTTCAGCAAACTTCTGTAAAGAGCCAGACAATAAGTATTTTAGGCTTTGCAGAACATGTAATTTCTGCCACAACTACTCATTTCTGTCTTTCCAATCCACAATCAGCTACATACATTAAGTAAATTAATAACCACAGCTATGCTCCAATAAAACTTTATAAAAACAAGTAGCTGGATTTGGTTCTGAGTTATAGTTTGGCTACCCTCTCCTCAAAAATAATATACAATGGGAATATGTCCAGCATTACAAAGAAAGCTGAAGAGTCACAAGTTACAAGGGATGTTCCTTTCAGCAGGTTGGAAACACGGGCCTCGGTAAAGGCTGGTTCTGCCACTGAGGAATTATTATCTCAAGTCCCTTAACCTGTAATGCTGCCTCCTCATTTGTAAATGGGGCAATGTCTTCAATCTACCTCAGTCACTGGGAGAGGCAAATGACAGAAAGTAGATGATTGTCATTTACCATACGTTGTTCCTAAAATCTTAAGCACTCTCCTCTGAGAGTCTCCTGACCAGTATTATAGGTCATTCTGCAAAAATCACATTACTTATCAAACCTTTGACAAAGCCTATCTTTCATCTTCCAGTACAGCTGTGTTAATGAAGACTGATTCACGCAAGCAGACACTGAAACTAGGTCATCCATTTCTACTCTTTTTCAAAACAGCATTCTTACTTTGCCCACTCAGGGTGATTTGCTAGAGTTTCATTAATCAAATTACTTGTGACTTCAATCATGTGTACACTTTCTTGATGTACCTGTATTATGGGCAGAGAGAGAAAAGAATTTCAGTAGATAACAAACAACTTAAAATTTGCTTTTTACTTTATTATTGGGAAAATGCTTTTAGAATCAAATAATTATACATCTTGGTTGGAATTAACTTAGAAACATGCACCAAAAAGCTGCTAAGTGTAACCCTGTGATACACACCTTGAGAAATAGCAAGCACATTATAATTCCCTGCCTTTAAGAGGCTCAACAATTTAGTTAAGAAAAAAACAGACGTGTAAATAAGCTCTATGTACAAAGCACGTAGAGCTTACATGTGCACCTGTGTAAACATATTGTATATGTGTGTATATGCATGCAATACAAACACCAGAAATACACTCTAGAGTGAGATATATAAGCAAGAAAATAAGCAAGGGAGATTTTTGAGTACAAAAAATCCAACTCAAACTGTACCTCTGAGTTTGCCTTCCATGATAACCAACAAAATGAAGGGATAAAAAAGAAAGAAACCATGGGTGGGGGGGAGTTTACCTATATCTCAATAAGAAACATAATTTGATGCTATTTGGAACAGTGCACTCAGTAAAGAAACAAAACATCACATTTTACTTCAAACTAATATTGATTATATCCACAACAAATTCATAACAACTACACAGCAGTATAGTTTCCAACCTTCTTTGTGCTATGGAACACTAGGTATATACTATGTAGGAATAGTATATTTATAAAGTCCATAATTGAATGGTGTAATTTTTCTTTAAAATCACATGGTTTAAATACATTAAGAGAACAAAGGGGAAAATACAGCTTTTATATTTATCTACATGTTCATGAAGTGCTCTTTATTACTTTAGGATCACTTCTCTCTGATCTAAAGGAATTTCTTTAGCAATCGTTACAGTGCAGATACGATATCAAAAATTCTGCTTTGGTTTACCTAGGAAAGTTTTTATTTTGCCTTTACTTTCAAATCATAGTTTCACTGAATACAAAATTCTTAGTTGAAAAATTTCTTTTTCCATGATTTTAAATGTCACTCCAATGTCTTTTGGTGTTCACTGTTGAGTATGAAAAATATCAAACTGTATTTTTGTTTCCTTATGCATGAGGTAAAGTTTCTCCTCTATTTATAGCTTTGAGGACTAAGATGTATTTAGGTATGGTTCTTTGTTTCTCTGTGTTTATATTCTTCGCAAATTTGGTGAAATTCTTAGATCTATTAAGATTCTTCACCAAACATGAGACGTTTTCAATCATTCCTTTTATAGAATACTCGTTTCTACCTTTTTCTTTCACTCTTCTCATATCCTAGAATCCCAATTACATCTGCAACTATTATAGTATTTCATATTGTCTCATAAATTTCTCAGGGCCTGATCATTTCCTACTGGACTAGGCAAAGGCCTCATGGCTAGGACACCAAAAGCCCAGGCATCAGGGCAACAACTGACAAATGGGACAACCCCATTTTTGATGCATCAGAAAATATCTTCAGCTGAACATGGTGGCACACGTCGAAGATCATAGCACTCATGAGGATTGCTTTGAGTTTAAAGCCAGCCTGAACTACATAAAGAGCAAAACCCTATTTCAAAACAAACAAACAAAAAAGTCCAACAACAACAACAAAAAACACCACCTTCAGGAACACCTGCAAAGTTCTGCTGCTCGAATTGCGCAGGATAAGAATAATCTAAACTTGTTGTTACCTGGCTGGTCATTTTCCAGTGCCTTTAAGTGGGAATGTTAAGACTGATTTATTTTTAATGGAAAGGAATTGCCTGACATTCTCAACTCAGTTATTATCACAGGATATATTAGGGTATTAGGAGAGGTTGTTTTTATTTTTTTGAAACAGTCTTGCTATATGGTTCAGGCTGATCTTGAACTCACTATGTAGCCCTAGCTGGTGTGAAATTCATGGAGATCTTCCTGCCTCAGTCTCCTTAGTGCTGGGGTTATAGGGAAGCACCACCAAACCTGGCTCTGATATATTAGCAAGGCTAAGTCCAAAAGGATAAGACAAACTAGATGTGGATACAAAACAAAGAGATTACCCTGAGACTTTTCATCTGAGGCAAGGATAACAGGCTTTTCATCTGAGCAAAGAGAAGAACAGCGCTATCACAGCAATCAGAAGACTATGAGAAGAATAGGTAAGAAAAGAACAGGAATTAAAATTTGGTATTTTACACCTGAGATATCCATTAGATACTCAAGTGGATATTATCACGGTATTGGGGAGAATGTTACCTTTGCTGGTAGAATAAACCAGGCTTCCTCAAAATCTCAGTTTGTATAAATCATAGACAAGAAAGAAATAGTTCAGTTAATACCTACGGTCAAAGTTCAGGAAAAAAAAAAGTTCACTGAGCCATAGAATGAACAAAGAAAATAAAAACCTGAAAGATGAGCATAACTGTGGGAGAAGACCTGACGCAAAGGGACAAAGAGAGAAAACAGAAGAGCAGTCAAGAGGAGGAAGGAAAATGAAAAGTTTCTCTAAGAACTAGAAAGACTGCAGTTTAGACAAAATATGGTAAAAAGAAACAATGCCTCTAACGTCTGCATGGCATGTAAGTGACCATATGAGGGGTGATAATCAACGAATGGAGAAGGGCTACATGAAACCAGAAGAGCAGGCTGTTAGAAGCAAATGAGAAGATAAATTTGAGGATATAACAGGACTGAGATTCACTGAAAATTTGACTTCCAGGAGGAGATACTAGGGGTAAGAAACAACGCAATTCTTTAGCAAATGAAGAATATTAAGCTTTTCACTGGTAACTGATACTAAAATACTGATGATACAAGATTACAAGAAACATTTTATTTTTCATGATTTCATATAACACCATCATTTATTGAAAACATCCTAAAATCTGAGAATGGAGTTCAGCAGAGTTCATAAACACTGAAATTCATGATAGAGGTCAAAGAAACCAGGCTGGGAGTTTGGCTCAGTGGTACAGTGCTTGCTTACAATGTTCAAGACCATAGGGTGGATTCCCAGTATTGCCAGAAACAAAAATCGAAAGTCAATAAAAGGTAGGTGCCACTGTAGGGACCAAATTTCAGCTGGTTTCGGGCAATGATTTTCTTTGATGAGATAAAAAGGGACACAGGAAATGTAACCTGGAAAGCAAGAAATGAAGATCCTATGGTGGATCAGCACGAAGACCAGGGAGACAGGAAGGGAAGGAACAGAAGAAACTCTTAGAACAAGGGTGATGGTGTATGTCTACATTCAAACTACTCAGGAGGCTGAGGCAGAAAGATCATAGGCTTTGGGGGCCAGCCTGGGCAACACAGTGAGACTTGGTCAGAAGGCAGTGAAGGGGAGAGTGAGGGAGGGGAGGACTTCTAAACTAGTGGACAGAATACTAGATCTAGAATTGTAAGACCAGCTTACAATTATTATATTTTTAAAAAGCCTCATTTTTAAAAATCTGCATTTGTCCCTGAGAATTTGATGACAATAAAATAAAAATCCATGCAAAAAATATTTAAAAAGGAGGCATATCAGTAACTTGATGGCAAAATTAGCAATATACAAATCATAAGCACTTTAGTGGCTAAACATGTAAGTCAAGCATATAACACAACTCTAATAATTATAAATTTATTGATGGGAATAATAATTATTGTACTTTACCTTTGCAGTCAGAAGAAGAGCTAGAAGAAGGGTTCCTATTACTAACAAAAATATGATAAAAATGCTAATTATTTTATCTAACATCTTCTCCAACCAGATGATCATCTGTACAGAAATAAAAAGGACAATTACTTATTCCTCAGAGTATAACTTGATAAACACACACATACAGAGTCAACTATGAGGACACAACAGACGATTCATCATTGCAAAGCAAACTGACATACTAATTAAAGCAGTAAAAGCACAAGCAGCTTTAGAAAATCAACTAATAGTAACTATACTTTTATTTTATGGAGTTCATCACTGCCATATCTAAGGCTGTAAAACAGACTGTCTGAATTTTCATACTATTCTCTATCTATAATTAAAATAATTCAAAACCCACTGAAAATTATACAAAATAATGACAATCCCCTAGCTGACCTAAGATGTCAAAGTTGTTCTCATCTGGCAAAAAAGATGACATTGGAAGAAGCATGCTCCTTATAAACATAAGTGTGTCCTAAATTATACAGATTGAATCGGAGCAAATTAAAATATGTAGTAAATTACATTCAAAATGTTTTTCTTTTTTATTTCATTAGGATTATAAAAGACAGCACTAATAAAAATTTAATGTTAAGACACACAAATAGCAAGTTCAGCATAACTGTTACCTGGAGAAGAACACAAGATGTCGGCAGGCATATACAAATGGGTAACTATTTACACAGTTTTATCAAACTAGGGGATGGGAAAATAGGTGTTTTTTAAATCTTTTTATATGTACGATATTTCATAATAAAACTTGTCAATCTGATATCCCACGTAAAGCTTCTACACTTTCGAAAAAGCACTGCAACTTAACTGTAATTAAACAAATGTAAATTAATCAATTTGGTGATTGTTCCTTAATCCAGTTAAAATTATAATATCCCTATATGCTACATGATATTCTATCTTGACTGTACCTTCCTTCATCTTTCACCACCACAATCCTAAATTTTAAACAACTGTTTTCCAAATAATTCTAATAGATTCATATTAATTCCTACCATACAAAACATTTAATATTTTGAAACTATATTTAATTAGATTAGCAGTTGCTAAGAGACCACATTGCACACATCAATCCCAACATGAGCTATAGCACTGCAGTTATTATTAATTTCAATAAAGTATGCTCTCCAAGCAGCAGGCTAAACATCTACAATCAAAAAATATTTATTTTTAAAAACCACCATGATTTCAAAAACATTTATTTTCTACCTCCATCCTTATCAGTCTGTTGTCCCCCTTATCTTTCATGAAGGACATTGTCACTAAGAAGCCAAAACAAAGCTGTTTATCTGTAATCTTGACAATTAGAGCAAATTGAAGAGTTAACTTTCAGTGCATGCTAACAAAGCATCAAAGACAATGCAGAGATTAAAGGAATAGCAAGTTTCTAAGATATGGAAGGTCAGATGTCTTATTTTGAAGGTATTTCTAAAATCAATGAAATGAAAATTTTCACAACAGGAAACCACTTAAAACCTGGGTTTGGAGCCCTCTTCCTCAGGAAAGGGCTAGCATGGTATCACTGCCTTTCATCTCCAGAACCTAACTGTACCCAGGACACAGGAAGTGTTCAATTAGTGCTATATATTTCAATAATCAAGCATAAAGGGATTTCAGAATTAAGACTAGGATTTGTACCCATGAATAATAATTTCTGAAAATAACATAAGAGGTTCTTGTTTGTTTCTGTTGCTTGTTCTAAAAAAAAAGTCCTATCATGGGCTGGGGATATGGCTCAGTAGTAGAATTCTTGTCTTGCATGCTTCTATGTGTAAGGCCTTGGGTTTGAACTCCAGCACCACTTAAAAAAAAAAATCATATCCTGAAATGTGTATGTAAATGAAAATGTTTTGTTTACAAAGTAAAGAAATCTAACTTATTATCTGGGTAGTTTTAATATGTAAGCATGAAATAACCAAAACTGTACTATGTACATCAACATTAAAAAAAATTAAACTATATTTTTAAGCTAGGACAGAATTTTCCCAAGTGGGATTTTGTCAGGAATTCTATGATATATTTGCTTAGGGCACTGGATGCCCTTCATCAGTCTAACCTGCTTTATACCCAGGGGTTTGGCCACCAAGGATAACACAAGAATCATGTTTCATTAAAAATTAAATTCATTTAAGATACTCAGTGTATAAGATAAAAAGTTGTTTGTTTGAACTCATACTGTGGGTAGCTAAAAACTAGTTGAGAACAGGGTGAGAAGGGAGATAAAAGAGGAAAAAAAGTAGAAAAAAAATCTATTAAAAAATTAGGAGGAAGGCCGGGCATGGAGGCACACTCCTATAATCCCAGCACTTGGGAGGCTGAGGCAGGAGGATCGCTGCAAGTTGGAGATCAACCTGGGCAAGGCCAGCCTGAACCACATACTGAGACCCTGTCTCAAAAAGACCAAAAAAGAATCAAGAGGAAGTGTTGGGCATGGCCACACATGCCTCTAATCCCAGCACTGTGATTTCAACCTGGGCTACCTAATAAGTTCAAGGCCAGGCTGAACTACGTAGTGAAACCACATCTCAAAACAAAAACAAAACACACAGAGACTGAGGAATCCAGAGGAATGACAAGTGATGTGTCCTACACTTGTAATCCAGTTCTGAGTGTGAGAAGTAGAAGCTGAAAGATTTCCAAGTTTGAAGCCAGCGTGGGCAAGTTAGTGAGACTATGTCAAAACAAAATCAACAGGGCTGGGGGATGTAGCTCAGCGTTACAGCACTTGCCTAGCAAGCCCCAGACCCTGTGTTCAATCCTCAGAACCAACAAGCAAAAATCAAAATAAAAAAGAATAGCGAAAATCAAGAGAAGAGAAAAAAGATGGGGGGATTACATACAACATAAGGACCAGTGGAGAAAATAAAACACTGGAGATGAAGGAAGAAAAAAGGAAGCCTCTAAAAGAATGACTTTAACCAAAAAAAAAAAAAAAAAAAATGACTTTAATAATATCTACAAAGAAGCAATCTCAGAAACATGGAGAGAGAGATGGAGAAAGGAACCAGAGAAAACAATTCCTAAAGAAATGCCAGGGGCATCAGCCAGGCGACTGTCCCAGGTTCTGCTGTGTGCAAAATCCAAACCACCCACCGCCACCACCACCTGGTTTGTGGGAACTGTACAAGGTCTCTATCTGTCCAGACTGCAATCAATTACTTTAACTTATTATTTTTTAAAAAAAGAAGGGAGGTAACTAAAACATGCTAATGTTCCCAACGTGATGAAGGGCATGGGTAAGCTTAACTGATGTCAATAAATTTATAATTTTAAGCAAACTCACGCTAAAACTTCTAAACTGACTAGTTTTATTCCTCAAACTATTAACAAAGTATCATTCATTCAAGATGCATGTTAGGCACAGTGGTACATGCCTATAATCCCAGCTGCTTGGGAGGATGAAGCAGGAGGGTTCCAAATTCAAGGCCAGCCTAGACAACAAAGTAAGAGCCTTATCTCAAAAAACAAAAGTATCATTCTACTACTGAGTTTATCTTCTAATTCACTATTCTGGGCCTACAGGTTTTCATATTGTATTATTTTTTAACCAAATTCTAGGTGAATCTTAGTGGGAATAGTCATAATAAATAAAATAAGTCCTGAGAAGGGTTACATTTCAAAGAAACATAAGACATGTACTCTCATATCTTTTCTTATGATTGATTTCTGAATTTATTCCACTTGAATGTCTTACATAACCAATGAAAATTACTTAACTGTAATTTTGTACTCTGCATTTAATGTAATAAAGAGCTCTCAATTTATATGCTTTCCTGGAACATACACTCAGAATTCCAAGCAGTTACTCCCACTCTACACCAACGTTTTATACATGCTTCATAGAATTACAAAGAAAAAGGTTATTTGATCCTTAAGTTAAATTAGCTCAACTATTCATTTATGAATTAGGTTCACAAATTAGATTATCTAACTCATTTGGCTGAGTAAGGAAGGATCAAACTGAATCTAATGAATTCATTCCCTTCCCTCTCTTAAGGATAATTTCATTTGAACACACACTAATTGGGGTAATATAGAAAATCACCTACTTTGCTCTAAGAAAGAAAATGTAACTTATGTTTGTACATCATGTGCCACAGGTTAAACTCACTCATACTAGGCCTACGGGAAGGGAAGTACACACAGCCACGTGTACATGGGCTGGGAAACGGGAGAGTGCTGAACTCTACACTTGAGTTATTTTCAACCTAAAATGAAACCTCAGCATTTCCAAGTCTCCCCTTCCCTCCATTCAACAAAAAGAAAGAAAGAAAGAAAGCCAGACAGACAGACAAGACAAGAAAAAGAAAGAAATCCTAATCTTTACATTCAAAAGTATGACAGTTGTAATTCCAGCACTCAAGAGGCAGAGGAAAGAGGATCACTGCAAATTCAAGCACAGTATGAACTACAGAGTGGATTGTGTCTCAAAAAAAATTCTGATTCTGATTTATTTTCAAAAAGCACCATTCTCAGGCAGGAATGATTGGTCCACACCTATAAAACCAGCACTCTGGGAGGCAGAGACAGGAAGAACTCAGATTTAATCCTGAACAATTGAGCAAGACTTTGTCTTGCTCAGTCCAAGATTCTGGATTCAGTCCCCAGTACAAAACAAAACAAAGCAAAACAAAACAAAACAAAAATCCTTCTTAAGGCCTGTTATGTTTTCACTGAAGACTCTTACAGTCTTATTAATACACATAAATGATGTCATCTCTTCCCATCCCAAGGACTCACTGACATTAACTCAAACACTGCTATACCGTGGACTTTATGGCAAAGGCACAGCATTCCTAACACACCTGATTTAGCCTTCCTAAAGTTGTTTGAAATTTACCTGCCACAATCACATGCCAATCACAGGAAGCTACCACAGACATACTTGTGCCTTGAAAAACACATTTGATGTCACAGGCCTGACTACAATCTTTAAACTAAAACTGAAATTCTGTATACCACTTGTTTTTAAAAAGAGAGCTGTAAACAAAGGGAATCACAAATATTTCACGCAGTTGTCACCTTTTAAAATGTGTGTTATTTATAGGAAAGGTGTTCTCTTTCCAGTAACTATCAGCTAACCTGCTTTCCCACATCAAAGGAGGTTAGCCTCCTCACAGAGCTGAAAAGGCATGGAAATCCCTGACAGCAGTCAGAAGGACACTGAGACAGAACTTTTCCCAAACACTTGAGCAAGGAGATACTATTTGCATCCTAAATAGCCTCTGTTTGAGATCTTGGCCAATTACACTGTGATGTATTTGTATTTCACAACCTTCCATAGCTTATAATTAGAACTTTAAAAACAAAAGCTTAGTTTGACATATGGAAACACAGAGTGAGAAGGGAGATCGTGGGGGCATGGGAAGTGGGTTAGAGAACTCAGTAGTAAAAACCAAACATCCGTGTGCTCATTTACCTTCTTATTTAGCCAGTGCCAGAGCTTGAGGACAGGGGGTGAGAAAGAGAAGATAAGAACAGTGGAATATCATTAGAGAATGCAGTAACAGTATGAAAGGAAAAGAAAGTCACTGAGCGCATGAAAAGGAAACTATCAGGAAAAATGGGGGAGAAAACCGTACAGCATTAACAAAGGTTTAAAATCAACTTAACCTAGTACTCCTTCAAAGATAAACAATGATTGAAATGAGGCGAACTACAACAAGCTTTTTTAATAATCCAAAAAATTAAAAATACATGGCATAACCTGAATGTCCGCAAGCTTAGTGCTTCTGCCTCTGTGCTGCCCCAGCCACTGATCTTCTTGCCACATCTGACCAACAAGCTCCCGGGGGTACTTTGCCTGGGAACCACTTCCTTAGCAAAATCCCCTTTACCACTGCCTCATCCACCAAAGTCATTTCCTGTTTAGTGCTACTGCTGTGTCTCATATATAGTTTCCTAAATAAATGGGAACAGCTGTTACTTATCCAGAGCTCACTGAGCACCAGGCACTAATGCAGGCATGTCACATATATTAACTCGTTTAACTCTCACCATCATTCAGTGCAAGTAGGTGCCATTACACTTATTTTGCTAATAAGGAAACCAAGGCACAGAAAGTTACAACACAGGCCCAAGGTCACGAGGCAGCTAGCAAGCAGCTGAACTAGGACCTGAAACTAGATTCTAACCAATAAACCTTTGAGTTTTCATGAATTGCTGCCTGTTTCCTAAACAGAGGGTTTTTTGGTCTGGTTTTCTGTGAGTTATCTGATTTTTTCATGGATATAGCACAATAGCTGGCAAATAGGAATTACTCCAAAAACATTCACTGAACTGAGCCACTAACTAGTTACAAAATTTTAAGCAAATCACTTAACCTCTCTGGATTTCAGTTTGGGCCTAATAAAACAGGGAATTGAAGTTAGTTTTCCATAAGATACTTTTCTCCCATTTTTAAGAGGAAAAATACCCAACACTTAATTAAGCTAAAATCATTCCATCCTACATGAACCGTAATTCTAAACCTCAAAATTTCATCAAAAATTACATAAGAAGCTGAGTGTGGTTGCGCAAGCCTGTAATCCCAGCACTGGGGAGGCGGTGACAGGAGGATCATTGCAAATTCAAGACTAGTCTGGGCTACAAAGTGAGCTCAAGACCAGCCTGAACTGCATAGTGAGATCCTGTCTCAAAAGAGGAAAAAAAAATTAGACATTAAATGTATTATCAATAGATGCAAAACAAACACTATTTACCACAGAGTGGAATACCTCAATCCACATAAACTCTGTTAAAGCAGCCCAAACTCTTAAAATATCAAAAGGAAACAAACAAACAAACAAAAAACCTCAATACCTTGCTGTCAACTTTTAGTAAGAATTTCCCAAGCCCAATGATTGGCCATGGTGCTAGAGCCTCCTGCCGCTCCTTCAGAAAGTGCTGGATGACCTGCCACCATTCGCGGCAGCGTTTCTCTAGGAAGTCCACAACACCGAAGTGAATGACAAGCTTTTTGATTATCCAGACTATAAAGATAAAAACACAGAGATATAGATCTATGGCTGTGTATGCACACTATACACACACACACAACATACAGACCAGAAAGACACAATAAAAAAAGACTCCTTCATTTCCTTCCCAAAATAGTACAAACAGTATTAAAATAAAGGATGGTTATAAAGGTAGGGACGAGAGGAGCTCAAGGTGTCCCAAACAGATGGAACTGGCCAGGTAACTTTTCACGCAGTGCTATGTATGTCTTCTCTGTGGCGTCTGAATCCTTGGAGCAGCAGGGGTGCTTCACCGCCCACATGAACATAAGACATTCTCAACATGACCATTTCAGTGACAAAGGCCTTCAAGCCTTCAGCCTTCCTGAGTAAACAAAACTAACCCTTAACATTTCCTAATTTTCTTGGCTATCACTGCTGTTCATCCCCAAGTTTGCTCTTTTCTACAGATATTTAACATTTAGTGGTCAGAAAAGTGCAAGGTATTCTATTATACATCATAATGTGATACCACTTCAAGGCCAATTTTTCATCTGTGTTTCCATTTCTCCACCTGATGTTGCTCTGTCAGTCTCAACAGAAAGCAGAGAAGCCAGCACAGATCAATGGGCTGCTCCAAATGTCCTTGGAACTGTGCACTACACTACATCAGCGCAGACCATATAAAAGCAAAATCGCAATGAGGATGTCTCCCCCTGGAGGTGGGCAGCTGTGATGGCCCTTCAAGCAGGACCTGAGAGTCCTATTAAAGACCACTAAAAAGGTGGAGGAGTCAGGGAAGAGTTACTGATCCATCTGGAGTCTGGACCAAGATTATTGCTCCCATTCACTGTAATATCCCTAACCCCAGGGATCTGTGCCTTTAGCCCTGACCTTTACCCTTCAGACTTACTTAGGTTCACTATTTTGAACCATGAACTCAACACCACTTACCAGTTAAACAACTTTTTCACTGACATTTTTAAGTCCCTGAGAAACCTCTTACAGTTTTTAGAATAAGCCCATGGTATTAAAGGCTATAGGAAACTTTTCTGGGGTTACCTTATTCAAGGTATGCCCTCCCAAGGCCATGTCAAATTTCTTTGTTGACCTGTGGTTATAAGACTAGGAGGGTTGGGGATATAGCTCAGTGGCACAAGCACCTGTCTAACAAGCATGAGGTCACAAGTTTGATCCCTAGTACCAAAAAGAAGGAAAAAAAGGTAAGAAAGAAACAGGCAAAACTAGGAGAAGTGTCTTAACACCTGCTAACAATCTTTAAGGAAACGCAAGTTCTAACAGAAACCAGCACATCATTTGCCATCATAAAGAAATCAGGCAAAACCAATCAAGAAGAATTTAAGTATTTCCATAAACTCCTTAACAGAAGCATAGCCATGTTTTCTGTGATTTGCTTAGTTACAAGTCTATCTCGTTAAAGTGCCTACCAGAAGTTCTGTTTGAGGACAGAAGCAGCAGTTTCAAACTTTAACCACGTAACACTGTACATTCCCTACAGACAGGCACTATACAGTGCTCTGGTCAAAGTAAATGTTTTAAAATGTTGACTACTTAATTAACTGGCCAATTCATTCTGAGTAATAAGTGGTGAAAACTAATGAGCTATAAAGTAAACAGGCAAATAAATTTAGACTTGTTCACATGATAAAAAACATGTCTCCAAAGAAATCAAATTAAGCTTTAGTTAGTAATGAAAATTCCTGGCACAGGAGATGAAAACTAGTAAATTTAACAAGTGCATGGATGGTAGAATTCACAGCCTACACAGAAGACTTGATATATTTGGCGTAGCTAGACTACAGTAAGAAAAAATTACAAATAATAAGGAAAGTACTAAAAACAACTGCTTCTATAATACACCAGAGTCAGAGAAGCCCTTACTCTTGCCAGCCTTAAAAGACAGCTTCTGCAAAACTCAACACAACACTAGGGGCCTTAAATGGTCATAGTACAGTATTATGGTACAAGGAGCTGGATGAATAACATATGGAAAACCCATATGACTGCCTTGATAGCACACAGGTTCTATATGTAAATTTGTATGTGTGTGTGTATGTTCAATTATTCTAAAAAACAAAATTCAAGAGTTTGCATACATATATCCCAAAGCCTACATTTCCTTTAGATTAAAATTGCAATGTAAAACATGTTTCCCTAAGAGTACTCTCAAAATTCCATCATAAACCTCAAAACCCAGAGCACATTGTAAATATTCTCTACCACAGAACCACGAATTGGGGGGGGGGGGGCAGTCAACTTTAGGTGGAGCTATCAACTTCAAACTCACATTATGAGAGGCGAAATACATCTTCAGGCTTACAAGTGAATTCTTTCTTTCTGTACTGAAGATTGAACCCATAGCCATCTCACTGAGCTACATCTCTAGCCCTTTTTAAATTATTTTTATTTTGAGACACTGTCACTAAATTGCCCTGGGTAGGCTCAAATTTAGGTTCCCTCTAACCTAACCTCCCAAAGCACTGAGATTATATGCATGCTCTACCACACCAAGATTAAAAGCAAAATACTAAGGAATTATAATAAGATTTCCAGAATGTTTTTAGTAATATGCAAGCATATAATTTTTCTATTATGAATGACAGTAAATTTCAAATACTAAAATCTAAAAGTAAAAATCAAAACTCTTTGGAGATAAGATCCCCATGAAACCAGACAATGACCTGCAATCGGCACAGGCAGCAACTGCACAATCCACAGGTTCAACCAGATCTGGACGACAATGATGGCCCAGACAAGGGACACAAAGTAGATGTCACTGGTCTTCTTCTTCCTCAGCAAAGATCCAATCTCAGGCCTCTGTCTTCCCAGAGTGGGTGAAGGGGAAGAAGGGGAGGAAGGAGAGGAGGATGAAGAAGTGGATAATGTTGGAGGAGATTCTCCCTTGTCTGTGGTTTCTGAAAAAGGAAAGAAAAAAATCACACACCATTATCAGCCCACATTAGGAAAAGCAATATAGAGTGGCTGGTTAGCATACCTTAACGTTAAGCCTTCAAAGTGTACTCTGATAGTAATGCATAACACTACATTAGGTGAAAAAACCAAAATGCTTGTATCTATTTGCATATACACCCAAAAACTTGTGGGTATTACCACTTAAATCAGAAATCATAACTCTTAAGGCAACAATATTCTAGATACACCTTGACAATGGAAATCTAAGAGGAGTTAAGTTTGTGGGGATAGGGTTGGGAGACAGAAAATGTTTCACCTTTATACTTCCTACTGTTCAAGTTTTTTGTGACTAGTATATACACATCATTTAACAAAGTAAATTAGGAACCATAATTAGCCATAAAAATTATGGAAAATATATAAAGAAACAAATAAGTATACCAGCATCTCTATACTGAAGAATTGCTTTTGTGGTGCTGGGTTATCAAACCCAGGGCCCCATATGTGCTAAATAAGCACTCTACCTGAGCCCTACTCTTAGCTTTCTTCTTCTTTTAATAGAACTTCTGGTGCATTTATGTAATTCTCTGAGACATGGCTTTTCAGTGTTATTTCACCTAAGGTTAGAGCAGCTAGTTACAAAAACCCATGGCTTTCAATTATATTTTTTGCTCCGAATGAAATATAAATGAATACGCATTACTGGAGTAAGGAATTTTCAAATAAAGGAAACCACTCTGGATTGTTTCACATAAAGCACTGTTTCCTAACAACACAACAACTATGGTACATGTCCCTACAGGGTTCTCTTATTTCTATCTTCTTCTTTTAATAAGCCATACCATATGCATCAGAAATCTTAACTCTAAAGGCAACAATATTCTACATAGATCTTGACAATGAAAATTAAGATCCTAAAGACTGCATTTTGCCTATCATTCAAATAAAGTTAATTATAGAATGATACCATTATTTTGGAAAGTCTAGAAAAAAGAGAAATGAATACCAATCATTCTCAGACAGGGGACCATGTGTCCCTGCCTTTTACAGAGATGCATCATGTTCTCTTATCCTTTTCACTTTCTTCCTTCAGAAGAAAGTTGCTTTGAGAGAGAAGGCTAAGGCCCTGCCTGTCTTATTCTCCTTCCACTGAATTCCTGGCACACAGAATACTACCAAACAATAAATAGATGTTAAATGAAAGACTTTAACTTCTATAAACAGCTTCATAGTAGCTCATATGTACTGTATTATAAATTCCTTAGTATTTTTTTTGAAGATTAACTGTGAGTAAATTTTACTGCTAAGATACCACTTATATAAGGTAAATCAGCTCATCTCACTAAAACATTCTACTCCAAGGTTTGGAAATAAAGGTCAAGCTAGTCATAAAATGCTTTTGTTTGATTTGCTGAGCATTTTTCTAATATGGAAACTCCATGTGCATGTGGCAGATACTTATTAGAATAATTTCATAATCTAAACATCATAATCTTTCCACTTTTGAAACATGATACAATATGCAAGAAACCTAAGTGCTCCTTCTATTCCAATGTCTTTATATTCTTCTAGAGCATCCTTTCCTTTAAGACACATCTCAAGTCAGTTCTTTAAGAAGAGCCTGCAACTACAAAAGCCAGGACACACAACACAACTGGAGGAGTTTGTTTTAGGGAAACAGTCAGTACATATAGTATGAGGATGCAAATCAAATTTTCAAAGGAATTACAAAAGAAAGAACATCATAGAATCAACCAAAAACATGAGAGAAAAGGCAGCCCAGCCCTTCCCCTGCAAAAAGGGAGGGCAGAAAGCAAAGAAAAAACAACATGAGACAAAATGGAAGGGAGCCAGCAGCTGTAGAAGTGGAAAATAAGAAATCAAGATAAAGAAAGCTTAAAATGGGAAGGAAACTAGAAAAGAAAAATAACACAAAAGTGAGAAAGAATAAAAGAATTTTAAAGGTATTTTAAGAGGGTAAGGGAAAGAGCTAACATAAGAAACTCAAGAAAGTAAATATATGAAGAAAGTGATATATGAGATCAGAGATGAGAGGGAAAAGGTGTAGAAACAATAATCAGAAAAAAAAAGGCCAGCACGACTACGCAGCATTTTATGAGGTAAGCACCCTTCTTAATTCAACATTCTTTATATCTTGTTTTCTACAACTCAAGGTACGTTCAGAATGGAGTCACCTGCAGGCTGGGCGGAGGTCTGGTCCTCACTGCCTGACTCATACCCTGTGATGGAGATAGCCAAGTTCGCTAGAGTCGAAGCTGCCATAGAGATCACCTGCCCTGGCAATTCTGCCCCTGTAAAAGAAGAGCACATCTTTAAAACTTTTTAAAGCAAATGAACAAGGTAGAAGCAAATACAAACACAATCCTAAGCTTTCAACAACAGTAGAATAAAAATGGTTATCTCCGACCAGTGATTCACTGAGGAAAAATGCTTGAAAACTGCAGGGAAGTTTACCAAAAATGTATATCCCTAGACTTTATGTGGGTGTTCCTCATCTGGGAACTTAATGCTGGTGAGTGTGGTAGATACTGTATGTACAAATTTGAAGTGCAGGACTTGTATTGCTTTAAATTTACAAATTGATTTTAATACAATAATAAGGCAAGGACAGAGAAGGACAATGCCTATCATGTCACATGTATTCATTACACACTGTACCACACGCCAGGGACAGACAAAAAGCCAGTCCACAGGAGACTCATGAAAGACACAAGCATAAATTAAAGAACCATATGAAAAATGCATGGCAACAAATTATGACTGCTCTAAAGGAATCAGTATTTTGTGAATTCATAAAAGACAGAACTTAACTTAGTCTGCACAATCAGGGATGGCTGCTCCGCAGAAGGGAAAATGGGGTTGACATATACAAAGGACAGAAGGAGTTAATCAAAAGATGTAAAATGTAACCTCTAGGAAGAAGAAAGAAAGCATGGCTGTGAGAAGAGCTTGTCATGTGAAAAGTCACTGTGCCTCAAATGCAGTCAGTTGCTAGCAAATCAAGAGCTATCAAATAAAGAGGGCAGAGAGGCAAGCCAGATGATCCTGGGCACAGAAGGCCATATCCAGGTCTTTAGTCTTTGTCTAAAGAACAGGAAAGCACAGGAGTTTTAAACAAGACAGTTTAAACCTCCAGTTTAAAATCCTTCCTCCATAAAACTCTATTGAGATAAATGGAGATGCAGTTTTAAGAAAAAAATCTCTGTGTATCTTTTATCCAGTTTTTCCAACTGGTGACATCTTATAAAACTACCATGCCAAAATAAATAAATAAATAAAAATTTAAAATTTTTAAATTAAAAAAAAAACTACTGTACAATATCACAATCAGATTATCATTAGGGATACGAGAACCTGAACAATGTCATTATTACAAGGGTTCCTCTCATTGCATCTTAATATTGCATTTACCTGCCTCCACCCTGTGAATAAACACTCCATTGTGGCCTGTAGTAAGATTATTCTTACTTGTCTGGAGAAGAACACACTACAGCAAACCCAGGACAGGTTTAGGGAGCTAAGTTATTACATAATTACAGGCAAAACATGATGACAGAGTGGTGTTCAGTGGTTAACTGAAGGTGGAAAAAAGCGGCTGGTCTCAAAAGAGACAGGGAGCAGGAAATCCAGAACACGCTCAATGATGACACAGGAATCGGAAATGAAGGTGCCCAAGTGCGAGCAGATTACGGTCAGACAGACAACATGGAAGGGAACCTTGTGAAGATTTGGACAACGTTAAAGCTCTGTTAAGACTTCCATATAGAAGTTCACAAACTGCCTAAAGACAGGACAAGATTAGAGTCTTATTAGTGTGCCCAAAAGATCTGGAGTAGGCCCTACCCAAGGGCAAAAGGAAACACATAAGGGCCTAGGCAACAGAACAGGAAAAAAAAGGAAAAACACCTGATAGCATTTAATAAGACAAAAGACCAGCCAATGGTCCTGAATTACTAAACAGGTCTCTTTACAAGCAGTGAAACTGAAGTGGTGGCTCACTTTTGAGGTCGCCTGAGAAGTGGTGGTCTGTTAAATAGCTGCAAAATAACAAAATCGTCTTATTGTTTTATAAATATAGACTTTCAGTTTGGCTGCATTTTGACTTAATATCACTGAATACTCATATGGTGACTGGTCCATATGCTAAGATAAGAAACTAGGACACTAGCTTCAAGTTCAGTATAATGGTAAAACTATTCCGTTACCATTCAGTATGTTACGAGCTAATTTAAAATAAGCATAGAATGTAGGCCAGCACGGTGACTCACACTTTAAATTCCAGCTCTCAGGAAGCTGAGCCAGAAGGATCGGAGTGAGTTTGAGTCACCCTGGGCTACGCTGTGAGTTCAAGTGCAGCCTATACTACAGAGCAGGAGCCAGTCCTTAAAAGCAAATAAAGCAATTAAAATTAAGACTAACTCTCCAATTCACTGATGTCACTGAAATGCACAATAAATACTTGGTAACTCTTAGCTAAATTAAAATACACTGTACAACATCATTCTGGCTAACATACATGTGATTTAGCAAACTTTTAGAATGCCTCAAACTTCACAAAAGCAGGAAAAAGGTAGATGGAGGAAAAAACTCAAAGATTTGAAAATCACATTACAAGAAGACCAACATTTGCCCTTATCAAACACATACGCACCTTAAAACCCAGCCTGGGGGCTCATGCCTGTAATCCCAGCACTTGGGAAGCTGAGAGTTGAGGCACAAGGATCATTGCAAGTTCAAGACCAGCCTGGGCGACAAAGTGAGCTCAAGGCCAGCCGGAACTGCACAGTGAGATCCTATTTAACAAACAAACACATATGCATTTTAACAACTTTTGTCTTAGTGGTATCCTTCAGCACTTCAAGGCCCCACAGGTCCGGACACATGAATGCCAGGACCATAATTCCAGGCAAGGTCATGATATTAAATAAAAAAGCCCCAGCTAAAAATAGGCATATAAATACAGTAACAATCTCAGGACTCAAGGACTACAAACATAAAAGGAAAGAACACACAGGGTTTCAAGTATCAGTCTCCCTGGAGACAGAAAAAGTATGAAGCAAGGAATCTATGGAAGGCCAAACAAGTGGGCCACTGACCAGGACAAAAAATCAGAGTCCAACACACAGAAATGGGTGATAAGTTCAGATTGAACCTGTTAACACAACTCCATAATGGGCTGACTAACTTCTTAATAACTGTGGAAAATGAATTTTGAAAACAGTCTAAATAAGGACATATTTCTACTTTAATTCTGTTCTCTTTCACAGGGATAGTGATAGTTGCCAAAAACACATCCAAAGATGCTTGCTGGAAGGAGACACTGCATACCAAGTTAAGCCTCCCCAGTTTGCAAAGTTCCCTGTTGAAAAGGTTCTGTTTCCATCACTAATGTGGAAAATAGATTTCCCTCGTAATCCCTTCTACCATCACTTCATTCAGGCTTGGATGTAGACCAGAAGTTTCTCTAGGTCAACTTATCTAACAGAACCATAATTGGGGAATATTAGAGGAAAAATAAGAAACTTAATTTGCTCCTTTCTTTTTACCAATTTGGGCTTAACTGGATCGAACTTGTGCATTCACATTATGAGCTCTCCTAAATGATGAAGGCAATGAGAGAGACAGGAAGATGGCAGCTTGAGGTAACTGTATGGACAGATTCTCTGGGAAAAACAGCTCAGATGCTGGAATTGGACAACATGGAGAGGGCAGCACAAGGGAAGAGGGAATCTCCCCAGCCAGAAGGAAACAGGAAAAAGTAAAAGGGGAAGAGGAAGGGAAAACACGGGTGGAGGGCTGGAGCCAGATGCGCTCACTAAGACCCGTCCCGCACTGTGCTGGGTTGTGCTGGGCTCCCTGGAATCAGAGGATTCAAGGTTGCAGGTGCCGGTAACGGGAGTTGGTGAGTCCCGGGCCCTGGTGAGAGGACGCAGTGCAGCGTGGAGTGGAGCCAAGGTGGAGAACTGCATTAATTGTCAATGAATGCTAGAAATTTGGTCCTGCGGCAGGTGTAGCCGGCTGGAAGACACATTGGAGTTGGGCAGAACAAGGCCTTAACCTGGAACCACAGGGGCATCAGTCAGCCGCCCCTGGCCCAGAGAAGACTTGTGGGACCTGCTTGGGCTGAGTCACACCCCTGGTCGGGACCCAATAGCCAGGGATGGAACTGTCCCGACCCTGTGACATCCACCCAGTGTAGCCTAAGTTGCTTAAGACACTTGCCGATTCATTGGCTCAGAGAAGTGGGACTAGCCCACATGGTCCCTGCCTGCACCTCAGATAACAGCAAACTGGAGAGAGCAGCAAGCCTCCAGCCAGCACACTTCAGAAAAACCATAGGCAATACGGAGATGGCCTGAGACCCCGTCACACACCTGTCTGAAAGAAGCCAGAAATATGACAAGAGAAAGAAATAAAGAAAAAGCCTCCAGCCGCTGACCCTGGGAAAATAAGTCCAGGAGAAGTAAATACAGAAGAGACCCAGGGCAGCAATCATGCAATATTGGCCACAATATCAGTGGACATAAAGAAATACCTTCATGACCTCATAGACAACTTAAAACTGAAATTCTAATCCACGTGAGGCAAGACATAAAAAGATTAATAAAAGAAATGCTAAGCCCCTCTCAAGAAGACACAGATGGAAGAATGGAGGAACCCAGAAAAGGAAGAGAAACCTTTGGTGAAGAACATAACCAAAATGTAAAAAACATGAAACATATCCAAAGAGATTACCAGGAAATTAAAAACTCCATTGAAAGCTGGCAAAATGCCATGACAGAAACTAAAGTTAGCCTTTCAAAACTTGAAGATAGATTTGCAACCTGTGATCGTGAAAGAAAAGACCTCTTAAAAATAACAAGGAACCAGGAAGTAACAATTCAAAGGCTAGAAGACGACAAGAGGATCTATAACTTAGGAATAAAAAACATGAGTGACAAAGCAGGAGTAACCACAAATAAACTATAAAGACTATTTACAGAAATAATTAAGGAAAACTTCCCAAGCATAGGAAAAAGAAATGATACTCAGATAAATGAGGTATACAGAATTCCAACCAAATACAACCAAAACAGATCTACATCCAGACATACAATAATCAAGATCCCAGAAATTCACCACAAGAACAGAATATTAAAAGCGGTCAGAGAAAAGAAGCAGATTACCTATAAAGGAAAATCCATCAAAATAACAACAGACTTCTCAATACAAACTATCAAACCAAAAGAGCCTGGAGTGAAGTAGTCCAAGCCCTGAAAGAAAATAACCTCCAACCCAGACTGATGTACTC